TTCTAATTTTTGCCAGAGGTGTAAAGTGAAATCTCAATGGTCTTTCATTCTTATTTCTCTGATTACTAATGAGTTTGAGTATTCCAGCATATGCTTGGTATAGCCTGTTTGGTTTTGCCTTTTATTAATTACTCATTTACTGGGGTTCCTGTCTTTTTCCTGTTGATGTATGAATCTCTTATATATTCTAGATATTAGCCACTTAGCAGTTTTAGACATTACGACTATCTCCTCCTATCTTGTTACTTGTTTGTTAACTCTTGCACAGTGGTCTTCACTGCATACGAAGAGTTGATTAAATTTATCACATTTTTGTCTTATGGCTTACTCTTTTGAGTTTCATTGAAGAATTCCTTCTCAACATAAAGTCCCCCACATTTTCTTACTTAACGTTATATATTTATTTTCAAATTTAGGTCTTTAATCCATTGACAATCACCTTTGTATGTGATATTAAGTAGGAATCTAGCTTTATTTTTCCCCAAAATGTGGGCCAGTTTTTCTAAGAAATTTTACTAAATGACCACCTCTTCCCTCCTTACTTTGTGGTGCCAGGAAGTGCCATATTTGTCATGACTTGGCAGAAACTTCTTGAAAATACAGACAAGGCAGAAGAAAGCACAACTGAGCAATAGAGAGTGAGGCAGAGATGCTATTGTTTGTAGTTTTGATATGTCTAAAGCCAGAAATCCACCTCTTCATTTTTGCTGGGTTTTTGTCCTTCGTAACTAAAATGACCATTACAACCATGATGTCCTAATCTCGCTTCTATGTAGAGAGCTAATGTCATAGCCTGCTGAGATTCAAATGACAACGATAATTCCAGTTAACATGATTTATTCTTACTTGTATCAGTTATTTGAATTTGTGATATGGTTGGTTGGATTATTTTGTTTCTTTTTAACTTGAGACAGAGAAACATGCAGTTTATTATTTTTTTTTGAGACAGAGTCTGGCTTTGTCGCCCAGGCTACAGCGCAGTGGTGTGATCTCGACTCACTGCAACCTCTGCCTCCCAGGTTCAAGTGATTCTCCTGCCTCACCCTCCCCAGTAGCTGGAATTACAGGCACCCAGCACCACGCCTGGCTAATTTTTGTATTTCTAGTTGAGACGAGGTTTCACCATGTTGGCCAGGCTGGTCTCGAACTCTTGACCTCAAATGATCTGCCTGCCTTGGCCTCCCAAAGTGCTGGGATTACAGGCATGAGCCACTGCACCCGGCCAAGACAGAGAAATAATACAGTTGAAATGTGGTTTTTTGCTGAGATAACTGGGAAACATTTTGAGAAACTGGCAGATTTTGAGAAACTGACAGTTTTTCCCTATTAAAAGTTCACAGGAAAAACATAGGGAAAAAATATGTATATATTTTAGAGACAGAATTTTGCCCTGTTGCCCAGGCCGAGTGCAGTGGTATAATCATAGCTCACTGCAGCTTCAAACTCCTGGGCTCAGGCAATCCTCCTGACTCAGCCTCCCAAGTAGCTGGGACTACAAATGTGTGCCACCACAGGCAGCTAATCTTTTTATTTTATTTTTTAGAGTTGGGGTCTTGCTATGTTGCCCAGGCTTGTTTTGAACTCCTGGCCTTAAGCAATCCTACCACCTTGACCTCCTAAAACATTTGAATTATAGACATAAGCCATTGTGTCCAGCTAGGGAAAAAAACATTTTGAGCTTGGGGTAGGCAAAGATTTGTTAGATACAAAACCAAAAGCATAATCCATAACAAAATTAGTAAATTAGAGTTCTTCAAAAGTCAAACCTTTTTCTCTTTGAAAGATACTGTTAAGAGATGGAAAAGGCAAATTATAGCCTGGCAGAAAATATTTATAAGACACTTATCTGATAAAGAACTTGTGTCCAGAATACACAAAGAATTTTCAAAACTCAATAATAAAACAACCTACCCAATTTTAAAAATGGGCAAGAGATTTGAATGCTCTTTACTAAAGAAGATGTATAGATGGCAAATAAGCACATGAAAATATGTCCAACAACATTAGTCATTAGAGAAATTAAAACCACAATGTGATATTACTACACATTCATTAGAAGGGCTAAAAAGATTGACTATACCAAGCGCTAGTGATGATCTGGAGTAACTAGAAGTCTTATATACAAGACTAGTGTGAATATGAAATGACCAAACACTTTTTTTTTTTTTTAGACAGGGTCTCACTTTGTTGCCCAGGCTGGCCTCGAACACATGAGCTCAAGGGATCTTCCCACCTCAACCTCCTGAGTAGCTGGGACTACAGGAGTGCTACTGTGCCCAGCTCCAAATGATCAAACGCTTTGGAAAACTGCTTAGTGTAAGTTCTCCAAAAGACACTGTATTTGTTTCCTAAGGCTGCTGTAAAAAAGCACAAATTAGAAATGTATTGACAGAACAGAAATCTATTCTCTCACAGTTCTGGAGGCTAGAGGTCCCAAAACAACCCTGTCGGTAGGATTGGTTCTTCTGAGGGCTCTCAGGGAGGGTCTGTTCTGTATCTTTATCCTGGCTTCCACAGATGGCTGGTAAGTTTTGTCTTTCCTTGGTTTACAGCATCATCCAGTCTCTCTCTTTGTTTCCACATGGAGTTCTCCCTGCGTGTCTCTATTTCGGTTTCTTTCCTTCTCTTCTATAAGGATATCAGCCATATTGGATTAGAGTCCCCCAAATTGAATATGACCTCATCTAACTTTGCAGATATCTGCAAAGATTATTTCCAAATAAGGTCACATTCACATGGACCAGAGGTTTAGGACTTCATATATATTTTTGGAAGATGCAGTTTGACCCATAATATACATGTGCTCGAATATTCATAAAAGCACAATTTGTAATAGCCTAGAACAGCAAACGATCTCGCTACTCATCAATAGTTGAATAGATAAATAAATCATGATATAGTCATGTGATGAATACCATAATACAATAAAAATTAACTACCTACAACTATGGACAATATGGATGAATCTCACAAATAAAATGCTGGATAAAATAAATAAAACAGCATATACTGGCTGGGCACAGTGGCTCACTCCTATAATCCCAGCACTTTGGGAGGCCGAGGCGAGTGAATCACTTGAGGTCAGGAGTTCAAGACCAGCCTGGCCAACATGGTGAAACCTCATCTCTACTAAAAATATAAATTAGCGAGTGTGACGGTACATGCCTATAGTCCCAGCTACTCAGGAGGCTGAGGCAGGAGAATCACTTGAACCTGGGAGGCAGAGATTGCAATGAGCCAAGATTGTGCCACTGTACTGCAGACGGGTGACAGAGTAAGACTCCGTCTCAAAAAAAAAAAAATTCTTTTTCACAGATTTTGTTGTTGTTGTTGTTAAGATATAGGATCTCACTATGCTGCTTAGGCTGGCCTTGAACTCCTGGACTCAAGCGATCCTCCCATCTCAGCCTCCTAAGACTACAGGCTTGTAGCACTATACCCAGCTAAGAATTATTAATTTGCTTCCTTAAGAGAAGTACATCAATAAATATGATTTCTTCAAATGTAGCAACTCTGAAAAATTCACTTAGAGTCCCTCAGAGATCAAGAGAGGTTCAGACTACTTAATTTTTTAGGCTCTTAGTTTTATATATACACAGAAATGAACAGACAGGGTGACAAATATTGTGTGATACATTGTGTAATATATTTTATATTTTTACATTTACTAAATATAATAATTTTAACATAAAAGAATTCCAAACAATGTCAATGATGTCAAAAGTCCTAACACAGGTCCTTCTCACTGTGAAGGCACTATTCTAGATGGTGGAGATACATAGAGAACAGAATAGACAAAATCCTTGCCTGCTAAGAGCTTGCATTCTAGCTGGCAGGAGACAGGCAATAAACAATAAACATAAGAAATATGCTAATTCTGTGGTATGATAGAGGGGATAAGTCACCATGGGAAATAAAAGTAAAGCAAGGAAAAAGTGTTCAGGGGAGAAGGGGAGGGACTGTGTTTTAATGGGGTGGGCAGGGTAGACCTCCTTAAGAAGGTGACAGTTGAGCAAAAATTTGAAGAAGAAAAGGGAATGAGCCATATGAATATCTGGTGGGCGGGGGGAATCACTTCAAATAGATAGATGTTCCAAAGACCCTTAAGATGTAGCCATACTGGCGTGTTTGAGGCAAAACAAGGACAAATTCCATTTGTATAAATGGAGAGAAATATGTGTGAAGGAGAGTAGTAAATGAATCAGACAGGTAAAGGGCATTCAGATTATACAGAGCATCTTAGGCGCTATAAGAACTTTAGCTTCCTCTCTAACAGAAATGGAAAGCCATTGCAGGGATTTGAGCAGAAGAGTGACATGATCTGATTTCCATTTTATTTTTTTGAGACAGAGTATCATTTTGTCATCCATGCTAGAGTGCAGTGGCACAATCATGGCTCACTGCAGCCTCAAACTCCTGGGCTCAAGCGATCCTCTTACCTCAGCCTCCCTAGTGGCTGGGACTACAGGCATGCACCATGATACCAGGCTAATTTTTAAAATTTTTGTAGATACAGGGTCTTGTTATGTTGCCTGGTCTGGTCTCAAACTTCTGGCCTCAAGGGATCCTCCTGACTCAGCCTCCCAGAGTGTTGGGATTACAGGTGTGAGCCATCACCCCATCCTCACTTCCATTTTAACCTAATTTTTCTGGCTGCCATGTTGAGAATAGATTTTAAGAGGCAAGTATAAAAGTAGTGAGACAAGAAAGGAGGTTAATTAAATAATTCATGTGGGAGGTAACAGGAGTTTGGATCCGGATGATAGCAGAAGTGATAAGAAATGGTTATACTTGGATATATTCTGAACGTAGGGCCAGGAGAATTTGCTGACAGACTAAGATGGGTGAGCAGGAGGTAAAAGAGAAAAAGAAGAGTCATGGAAGATGCCAACCCAAGAACCAAGATGTGAAAGAGGGCAGACTGGGTAAGTTTGAGGCAGAATATTAGGAGCTCAGTTTGAACTTGCTAAGACTGAGATGCCCTTTTTTTTTTTTTTTTTTGCTTCCCGGCCATCTTAGCGGCTGCTCTTGGTTGAGGGCTGTCCCGCACCTAAGGCAGGAATATGATGGCCGCAAAGAAGACAAAAAAGTCTCTGGAGTCAATCAACTCTAGGCTCCAACTCGTTATGAAAAGTGGAAAGTACGTGCTGGGGTACAAGCAGACTCTGAAGCCAAGGCAAAGCTAAATTGGCCATTCTTGCTAACAACTGCTCAGCTTTGAGGAAATCCAAAACAGAGTACTATGCAATGTTGGCCAAAACTGGTGTCCATCACTACAGTGGCAATAATATTGAACTGGGCACAGCAAGCGGAAAATACGACAGAGTGTGCACACTGGCTATCATTGATCCAGGTAACTCTGACATCATTAGAAGCATGCCAGAACAGACTGGTGAACAGTAAACCACGCAAAAATTTTCCTTTAATAAAATTTGCCGGCCGGGCGCGGTGGCTCAAGCCTGTAATCCCAGCACTTTGGGAGGCCGAGGCGGGTGGATCACGAGGTCAGGAGATCGAGACCATCCTGGCTAACATGGTGAAACCCCGTCTCTACTAAAAATACAAAAAACTAGCCGGGCGTGGTGGCGGGCGCCTGTAGTCCCAGCTACTCGGGAGGCTGAGGCCGGAGAATGGCGTGAACCCGGGAGGCGGAGCTTGCAGTGAGCTGAGATCCGGCCACTGCACTCCAGCCTGGGCGACAGAGCGAGACTCCGTCTCAAAAAATAAAAATAAAAAAATTAAAAAAAATAAAAAAATAAAATAAAATAAAATAAAATAAAATTTGCCTGAGCTTGTTTAAAAAAAAAAGAAAGATTGAGATACCCCATTTGTCTTAAATAAAGATATTCAGTAGATTATTGAGTTCATGGTTCTGGAATTCAGCGGAGAGGATGTCTGTACTAGAGATACTTTTGAGAGTCATCATCATATAGTGATATTGAAAACTGTAAAATTTGGATGAGTTTGCCATGAGAGTGAGGGTAGAAAAGAGACTCTCCTGGCTAACATGGTGAAACCCCGTGTCTACTAAAAATACAAAAACAAAAGTAGCTGGGCGTGGTGGCGGGCACTTGTAGTCCCAGCTACTTGGGAGGCTGAGGTGGGAGAATGGCGTGAACCTGGGAGAGGGGACCTTGCAGTGAGCCGAGATTGTGCCACTGCACTCCAGCCTGGGCAACAGAGCGAGACTCCGTCTCAAAAACAAACAAACAAACAGATCAATAAAGCAGAATAGAGATCCCAGAAATAGACCCACATAAATATAGCCAACTGATCTTTGACAAAGGAGCAAAGGCAATATAATGGAGCAAAAAAAGTCTTTTCTTTCTTTTTTTTTTTTTTTTTAGACAGAGTCTCATTCTGTTGCCCAGCCTGGAGTGCAGTGGTGTGATCTCGACTTACTGCAACCTCCACCTCCTGGGTTCAAGCGATTCTCCTGCCTCAATCTCCTGAGTAGCTGGGATTACAGGAATGTGCTGCCACTCCTGGCTAACTTTTGTATTTTTAGTAGAGACCGGGTTTCACCATGTTGGCCAGGCTGGTCTCAAAATCCTGACCTCAAGTGATCCACCCACCTCAACCTCCCAAAGTGCTGGGACTACAGGCATGAGCCATCACACCTGGCCAAAAATAGTCTTTTCAACAAATGGTACTGGAAAAACTGGAATAACAAACAAACAAACCCAAATCTAGATACAGATCTTAAACTTTTCACAAAAACTAATTTAAAATGGATCATAAAACTAAATGTAAACCTCAAGACTCTAAAACTCCTAGAATGTCACTCCAGGAGAGTGACACAAGGAGCCTGAAGGTCACCTGACCCAGTGTCACTCACTGGCTGCCAGATGGATTCATAGCTGAGGTTTTTGGTAGGAAAGGAATTCACAAAACATTTTTTTTTTTTTTTTTTTGAGACAGAGTTTTGCTCTGTCGCCCAGGCTGGAGTGCAGTGGCACCATCTCGGCTCACCACAACCTCCGCCTCCCGGGTTCAAGCAATTCTCTTGCCTCAGCCTCCCGAGTAGCTGGGACTACAGGAACACGCCACTACACCTGGTTGATTTTTGTATTTTTAGTAGAGATGGGGTTTCACCATGTTGGCCAGAATGGTCTTGATCTCCTGACCTTGTGATCCACCTGCCTCCGCCTCCCAAAATGCTAGGATTACAGGTGTGAGCCACTGCGTCCGGCATTCACAAAACATTTAAAAATTTTACTTGCCAACATTTAAAAATCAAGAGATTTCATATAAAAACTTGATTTCCAGACTTACTAAATTACAAGATTCTGCAACCCTGGGCCTGAAACCCTGTAGCACAGCCTTCTTCTGTGGTACAGAATAAAGGCTTCCTCCTTAGCTGTGCTGGTGTCCTCCAGTGCAATACAGCCCTACTGTTTCCAGCCCACTTGCTTCTCTCATTTGCTCCTCCCTGGTTCCTGCAGGCACCTGAGTTTGTAACTTCTAATTATTTCAATCCTTCCCTTTTTAGATGTGGAGGCCGAGGTCCCGTAGAGAAATAGAGAGCTGGAACTGGAATCTTAGCCATCAGACCAGGGCTCTTTTACATGCCTTGTGTTGTTTCTTTTATATTTGGTTGTTTTGAGAAAAAGATGATAGCTTAAAAAAAAAAAAAAAAAAAAAAGGTAAGACATGGTGGGGGGCCGGGCGCGGTGGCTCACACCTGTAATCCCAGCACGTTGAGAGGCTGAGGAGGGCAGATCACGAGGTCAGGAGTTCAAGACCAGCCTGGCCAATATGGTGAAACCCAGTCTTTACTAAAAGTACAAAAAAAAAATTAGCTGGGCGTGGTAGCATGCGCCTGTAGTCCCAGCTACTTGGGAGGCTGAGGCAGAAGAATCGCTTGAATCCGGGAGGCGGAGGTTGCAGTGACCTGAGGTCACACCACTGCACTCCACCCTGGTTGACAGAGCAAGACTCCATCTCAAAAAATAAAAAAAAAAAATAAAAGACATAGTGGGGAAAACTAAAATTTAGAGATTTTTAGGCACCATTTAGGTGATTAAATTGAGATGAAGGAAAAAGTGGAGGTGAGTAGAATTCTTTTTCTCTGTAGAAAATAGCTTCATTGTTGGCCGGGCGCAGTGGCTCACGCCTGTAATCTCAGCACTTTGGGAGGCTGAGACAGGCGGATCATGAGGTCAGGAGGTCGAGACCATCGTGGCTAACACGGTGAAACCCCGTCTCTACTAAAAATACAAAAATTAGCCGGGCGTGGTGGCGGGCGCCTGTAGTCTCAGCTACTCAGGAGGCTGAGGCAGGAGAATGGCGTGAACCCGGGAGGCAGAGCTTGCAGTGAGCGGAGATCGTGCCACTGCACTCCAGCCGGGGAGATGGAACGAGATTCCGTCTCAAAAAAAAGAAAAGAAAATAGCTTCATTGTTTTGGGGAAATGATGTATGTTCAGTGCAAAAGATACCAGCAATACAGATAAGTACAAAGAAGAGAGTAAAGATTCCCCCAAATTTCACACTTCACTTATAATTTCCATTAACATTTTGATATGTAAATCTCTACATCCCCTCTTGACATATTTATAGATACACTTAATCTAACACTGTCTCAGCCAGGGATTATGTGTGAGTGTGGGGTTTTAGAGTTCCCACATAATCTTCATCAGTTTCCCTCCAACCAATTATTTGATATAGCCAATTGGGATATTTTTCAATTATATTAAGGTGCTATGCAACTACAAGGTCAAGCCTTCTTTGTCCCAACTCCCTTCCAATGAGATTGTTATGGACACATCCCGCCCACCTATATAGAAATTCTGAAGTTGCTAGATTGCATGTTTTTCTGAATGAGAGTGTCCATACAAGTCACTTTCATTATGTTCTGTAATTTGATTTTCCCACCAATAATACTTCTGGAATATTTGTGTCTAGTATATAAACACAGACTTTTAAAACCCCCCACAAATTTCCCTTTTAAGAACACCTTCAGCATCCTCAAGAGAAGCCAGTTGGTCTCTTACACAGACTTTGCTCCATCTGATTGATGCCTGGGAAAATGGGAACAGCTGATTGAAACCCATTATGCACATTCAAGTCTGTTTGATTGTTCACAATAGGCACTGATGAGAACAATTAGTTTCTCAATGATTGTATTAGTCAGGATTTGCTGCAATAATGTTGCATAACAGACAACTCCCAAATGTCAGTGATTCATAAGAACAAATATTTATTTTTCACTCACTGGTCTGTGCACTGCAAGTGGGTTGTCCGGGCTCGCTTGGGCTTAGGTTTGGGTCTTTTCTACGTGTGTCTCATTCCAGGACCCAGGCTAAGTGGGCAATGGCTACTTGAGGCATTTTCTCCTCAAATCAAAAGGCAGAAATGCAGGAGGTCATGCTAAATTTCACAAACTCATATAAAGTCTCTGGTTAGATATAGCATATGATATATCTGCCCACATTGTATTGAGGCAAGAGAATGGGAGACGGGAGGTTGCAGTGAGCCAAGACTGTGCCACTGCACTCCAGCCTGGTGACAGAGCAAGACTCCGTCTCAAAAAAAAAAAAAAAAAAAAGAAAGAAAGAAAAAGAAAAAACAGCTTGAGCAACATAGTGAGACCCTGTCTCTATGAAAAATTATTTTAAGCATAAAAAATGATAAAACAAAACAAAAAGGAAGATATACAAATGGCCTATAAGCACATGAGAAGATGCTCAACATCACTAATCATCAGGAAAATGCAAATCAAAAACACAGTGAGATACCACTTCACAAACATTAAGATGGCTATTATTAAACAAACAAACAAACAAACAGAAAATAGCAAATGTTGGTAAGGATGTAAAGAAACTGGAACACAGGTAACTTGTGGTAGGAATGCAAAATGGTTCAGTCACAGTAAAAAACTGGTGGTTCCTCAACAAGTTAAACATAAAATAGCCGTATGACCCTACAATTTCATTCCTAAGTATATACCAAACAAATTGAAAATGAGCACTCAAACAAGTACATGTACATATTCATTAGCAGTACTATTCACAATAGCCAAAAAGTAGAAAAAGTATAACTGTCCATCAATGGAGAATAAACAAATTATGGAATATATATACAATGGAATATTATTCAGCCATAAAAAGAAACAAAATACTGATGTATGCTACAACGTGGATGGCCTCCAAAATATTATGCTAAGTGAAAGAAACCAGACACAAAATGTCACATTTTGTACAATTCCATTTATATGAAATATCCAGAATAGATAAATCCACAGAGACAGGCTCAAGCGATCTTCCCATCTCAGCTTCCTGAGTGGCTGGGACTATAAGTGCATGCCACCATGCCCAGCTAATTTTTTTTTTTTGTAGAGATGGGGTTTCGCCATGTTGCCCAGGCTAGTCTCAAACTCTTAGGCTCAAGCGATCTATCCACCT